GGAGGAGCCCATAAAGGGTGGAAGGTGGGATGGGGATCATGAGACCTTATGGGAAATAGATTGTCCTAGTACTTCGGAGAAGACTGTTTTTGTGAATGACACTATTTTGCCAAAATGTGTTCAAACTAGAAGCACAAAGGATCACAGCAGAGCCTCTGACTAAGGAAACATGGTTGGCTTGCACTTGTGAATTATTTAACCCTAGACCTCACCATGATCCCCAGTCTAATATGTCTTCAGCATACTTGACCTTCCCCTCCACCCCCACACAAATTCAGCACAATTCCAAATGGAATGGAAGCATACCAAATACTTCCCCTCCACCCCCACACAAATTCACACAAATTCCAAATGGAATGGAAGCATACCAAATACTTCTGAACTACTTATGCTGTCATGTTATAAAACCCCGTTTGTGGTTTAGTTTACCTAAACCTCACCATGCAAAGTTCTCCCTGTTGGGACTCTGGACAATATGGATGGCCGGCGGAGATGCTTAGGAGACAGATTGTGGGAAGGGAGCAGTGCTCCAGTGTCTGAGGACAGGAGGAGACTGTAGAAGAATCAAAGGGGAAACAAGCCATAAAAATGTTGGTGCAAATGAATAGTGATGGTGACAATGACAAAATAAAATCCTCAGCTTTAAAACTCCAGGATGAGAGGGACAGCATTTGTCAGCAAAATGGCATGAACAAGTGTTTTGGATCAGCAGCAGCAATGTCCATGGGCACATGAGTTCCCAGTGTACAGAGCCCTTTGGTGACTGCTGTTGCTGCACCTGAGACAATCAGCAACCCAGCAAGGAAGGTGCTACACTTTTCCCTCATATGTGAGGACACCGAGATTGGGGCTGGATTGAGGAGACATGCTGTGGTCTCTGTGGAGCTGGGGAGGTTTTAGATGCAGGGATTGAGGAGTGCTAATATCTCTGATTCTTAAAGCAGAAGGAAGGCAGTGAGTCATGGAGGTCCAGGCCTCCAAACTTCCAGGACCCTGAGGCCATGTCCAGCCACCTAGAGAGAAGATTCTGCTTGTAGAACTGCCATAGGCCATTTGAAGAGGTTATTTAGTTTTCTGGAGACTGTCAGCAATGTCTGGGAAGGAATGGCCTGGTAGAGATGGAGGTCAGCTTCAAAACCAGGAAGGCCAACACAGAGAAGAAAAATGAGACTTGCTCAGTATGGCTTTAGGGGAAAAACCTGCAGATAAAGAGATCAGTGCTTAAAGTAAGCAAGAAGTTCTGGCTATCTTGGTCACCCTCAAATGAAATAATGTCTCTCATTAGGTCATACTGGCAATTGGCATTAAAGATATTCGAACAAAACGAAATGACTGCTGGAGCCGATTCAGCCTTCCTTCTCCTGTCATGGCTGCCCACGTCTCCCGCCACTCTTGTATAGCTGGACGCGGCTCCAGGGCTGAGATCTAGCCCCAGGGGCATGTGCAGGAGTTTGGCAGTTCCCCCACTGCTTGCCCACCTTTCTCCCTCTCCTGTCCAGACAGACAAGGACCATCCGCTGGCCCCAGGCCACCGTCTGACCAGGTGCAGTCTGTGAGAGTTCTATGAAAGATGTCTGTTTAGATGGAGCTTCTGAAGTTCTGAGTCACTCTGTTAGAGTGACATAGGTTCCAACCAATTGAACTGTTTCTTGATGATCTGACAGATGATTGCAGTATTTACACAAGGACAGGCACCAGTGGTTTCCCCAACTCTACATTCTATCTCCCGCTCACCCAGTCATTCCAACAGTCCCCAACCATGGTCAAATGTAAGCACCTCCTGTTGTCAGTGACATTCTGAGGTTTTGGGAAGCCAAGCTCTTCTGAATTCCTGCTCGTCTTTGCCTCCACCTGCAGACAGTTCCCGAGGCTAACAGCCTCCAAGATGATGCAGGTGGCAAGGACGTTTTGCAGATTTATTTGTGACTAGCTAAACTTAAGGACTTCAAAAAGGTGACACAGTATTTATCTTGCATTTCATAAGGTTCTTTGCAATGGTGTATTTTCCCTGCGGGGAACAAACCCAGAAGGCCAGGTCTTACTCAGGTAGAGGGTCAGAGAATACAAATGTGTTTGGGCTCCAAACAGGAATTAACAACACCCAGCCTGAAGAATATTCCACCCATTAGTCCTCTAAGAGGTAAATAATAAAGTAGACAAGCTAGAACTAAAAGTCCCTGGCCTCTGTGCCTGGGTCTAAGGGAAGATGTCAGTGACAGATGGGTCTGAGTTCTGTCCCCGACACACGCGGCTGTCATTCCAATTTCCATCTCCCCCTCATGGTTTTCCTCTGGCCATAACTCCCTTACCTCTCACCTCCTAATTATACATACTGTAAACATTCTTCAAGACTTTGCTCTATAATTTTCCTTCCCTTAATTCATTCTTTAAAACCTGAAATATATAATTCAGGATCTAACAAAATCTCCAGTAATTGTTCCATCTTTCATTTTTGCTCAGGTGGCCTCATCCATATCTTAAGTTTCCTTTGGAACTCTTCCTTTGCTCAGCCCATAATAGGTGTTTAATAAATAAATCTGAAATGTGGGTAGTTAAAAGATATGAATCTGATCTTTTTCTGATGATATGTAAATTGTCAATGAAGAACAAGAGAGATCACTTCCCTGATGATTAAAACAATTCATGAGGATAAATGAGCTTGGTTTTCTCACCCAAAGACTTTTCAAATGGAGAGATTTTTGAATTTTGAGCTTTGCTATTAACAGCATTATGACATTGAGCACCAAGGTCCTCATTTCATTTCACAACTGCATAATTTGGAAATGATTAACAACAGCTCTTTCTCAACATCTTTAAATCATGGGTCAACTAAAAATATCATCATTTATTTCTCTAGCCCATCTTTCTTGAATTTTCCCATATGAAGCACATTTTAAACTTTCTTTAGCTCTTGAATTTAAGGTCCATTAAATTCCTGTCAACACATTCTTATTTTCACGGAAATAGAAAGACAATTACACTTTTTGAACTGTACTATCAACAAAGAAAAAACTAAGGTGAAATCTCATACTCCTATTTAACAAATAGTGTGCAGCATCTTAAAAGCTGTACCCCTCCAGTGCACAAAAGCATGAGCAGGTGCATTTGTGCACAGAGGAGGCACGGAGGATCCCAGGGAAAGTGGTTTATTTGAGGCAGTAATACTTCTTTGAGCTCCTGGAACCACTGACTCAGAACCACCAGCTTCGTTCTAATTTCTAACATGTTCTTCATGTCTGGCTGCTGGTTAGCCCAAGGACTCCTTCCTGGGAGAGACGTCTGTCTCCTGGAGGAGTCCAGGGAGGAACTCAGAGGGGATGCTGGGACCTGAATTTTAAGCAAAACAGAACAGAATCCAAAACATTTGCTCCTCCTGACATGCAAAATACTAAGAAAAGGATGCAATTAATCTTCAACACTCAACACTTAATTTTGTTATCTGTGATTTAACTTCGACACACCACCTCCTGGGGAACAGGAAAACTTTGAAAGAAAAATATGTAAGCTAAACTTTATCAATTTAAAGTGCAAAGTAATGGATGCTTAAGGGAAGTAGGAAGGCCCTGAGGAAATCTAGAAATAGACTGTAACTTAGTAGAGCCAGTTATTAAATATTTACTTTTTCCCATTGGTTTAGAAAAAGACAAAATTCTTTACTGGCAAGATGGGTCTCACTCCCCACAAGAGACCCTTGCTGAGGCCTCACAATCCGGCCCAAGGAGCTGGTTTCACGGCAAGGCTGGTGGGTGTAAAGAAGGCAGTGATGACCTTGGCTCTCTCCCCTCTCCACACTGGCAAGCAGGTGCTTTGGGCAGTAGCCATGGAAGCCCCTGTGCCCTGCCCCAGCCCCATCTGATCCAGGCACTGCTTTCTTCCTGTATACCCATGTTCTCTACTCCCATTCACTAGCTCAAATTTTAACTACCCACATTTGCTCGGCAAAACAACAACTTATGGGAGATATTGTTAAAGTATTCTCCCCACTAAAAAAAAGAAAGAAAGAAAGAAAAAGTATCCACTATTTAGAAGCATTTGGAAATGAGGCATAGAACCAAAATCTCTAGATGTGGCATTTTTCTCTTCAGGTTTAATTTCGAATCATTTTGCAGGTAAAGACTTCTTCAGAGGCATGATATGAACGCTTACTACCTTGCACAGGTGTACAGACCAATTGCCCCAAGGGCCAAGCCCCTCTGAGTTCTCAGGTGAACACTGGAACCATTGTCTCCTTCCCACTGGGCACTAAAGTGGTGAGGTTCTCAGGGCCAGGGGGAGGGTCCACATTGCTGGGACTGAGTTCACATCCTTGTTCCTGGGCTGTGACACTGGACTGCCTGTATTGCTTTTTGTAATTTTTTTCTGCCTCCTTTCTAAAATTACTTGTTGAAACTTGTTAATAATTTCCCCCTGCCAAAAAAAAACTCCCTGAGTTTATTATATTTTAGTCTATTGTAGAATGCAAAAGTGTAGGAAGATAGGTCTACTTTCTTCTTTATGTAAGGTGATTTAGCATAATTAAAAATATTACATATTTCAAAATAGGTGGAAGAGAAAATATTGAGTGTTCTCACCATAAATAAATGAGAAATATTTCAGATGATGGATAAGCTAATATCCTGAATTGCTTATTACATTAGGTATACATGTATTGAAACATCACACTGTACTCAACAAATACATACAATTACTATGGTTAATTAAAAATTTAAAAAATCACAACCTCTTATGGAAACAAAAAAGACAACTTTGGGTAAGACTCTCTGAGTGTGGATCTGTCCAGTCCCAAAGGTTCATGGATCTTGGTGTGTATTTAGGGGACACATGGTGGTCCTGTTTTTGCATCTTCATTGATGATCTTGTTTTAGTAGCATTTTGGCTACTGAGGCTGTTGGACTAGTGCTGTCCATATCTGAGGTGCCTTTTGTTATGGCCAAATACTGAGTCTTTGGATCCAGAGCCTGTGTGAAGCTCCTAAGCCAAGTAGGTAAAGCAAACCTTACCTTTTTGTACAGACTTCTCAGATCTCGGTACTGCCACATGCTGTTTAGGACCTGAGATGCAGCCTTGACCACTTTTGGGGAGTGTCTGATAAAGGAAAGACAGGAAATGCAATCAGAGTGGTAGCTGGGCTTGCACTGACCCTGACATGTCAGGAGAGGTCAAAATGGACTTCCTCCCAGCTTTGCTGGCTCTTTTCTTCTCTGCCTGGGGACTGCAAAGGATTTTTGTACCAGTCCCCATCCGTGGTCTCATCACACATCCATGAGGGTGACAGGTAGGAAGAAATTACAATTTGGCAAAGAGTTTTTAAAAATGCAAACACAGGAACAGTGGCATGTGGTCAGAATGCAGACTTAGTGTTTGACTACAAAATGGAATAGAAAGAAAAGAAACAGTGATCAGAAAGGACAAGCTTCAGGAGTTCTGATGGCAGTTTTGTGGAACACCTGGTAATAAGAGAGCAGTGTCCCACTGGGGCATGAGAGCGTACCAGCGTTGACGCTACACACTTGCTGAGGCCATAGGCAGTGAATGCTGAAGTGGGCACACTCTGACATGGGTGCAGAGGAATACATTTGTGTAAGAATCTATAACGCCTTACCTGCACTTCAAGTTCTGGCCTCTGGACCATAGTGCATAGGGAGAAACCAAGGTCACAGAAATATTTGGACAGGAAGTTGTTAACTGCGTTCAAAGTCATGCCTTTGAAATACCTATGACAATATAACTAGATATTTTGATTTAGGTTCAGTGCCAATCTGAATCTCAAAACACAAATTAGATTAATAAATTCCTGTCAATTTAATTCAATTGAATTCTTGGAAGTCACTTTGACCTGTGGTCATGGAAGCTACTCAGGAATTAATCTAAGTTAATCCACTCAGGAATTTTGTATACTAATAGGCTGGTTTCACAACCAGAGCACTATTTTAGTGACTATCATTACAGAGTCTATCTGAGAGTGTCTGATAAAGGAAAGACAGGAAATGCAATATGAGGGGTCAGCTCACTTTTTCTGCAGAAGGTCAGATGGTAAATATTTTATGATATTAGTCACAATTACTTAACTGTAACTGAAACATGAAAAGTCATATTTAAACAAATAGGTATAGCTGTGTTGTAATAAATGTGATTTATCAAAAACAAGCAGTTGGTAGGATGTGGCCCATGGTAGATTATCAGGGGATTCCTGCCTCATGTAGATGCTGACTCCTGGTGTTCGGCAAGATATTACCATTCATGAAGACTCCAATGTGATAACCACTCCTGAAGGTGACTGGTTGCAGTGGCTAGCAATAATATCTGAATTAAAACCAAAGATGCCTTTGAAATAAAATGGTATTTGAAACAAAATAGGAAGATGGTAGATGGTCCAGGATGAGTTTTCAGTTGAGAGCAGAAGTAAATAGATATTCTGAGGCTATGCATTTTACAGTGAAATTATGGGATGCCAATACATGGTGGAGAAAGTGGCTGCTATTTTCCTAGGTCTTCACATTTGTCATTTAGACCAACCTAGTTTGAGGATTCTTCATCCATTCACTGAAGGGCAAGTGTAGCAGCCATTGCTATGATTACTGAGATGAAATTCAACTTTAGCCATGTTAGTTACATCAAGGAATTAAAGAGAACAAATATAGAGTTTCTATAAATTCCAATTTTTAACATTTCTTTTCCTGAAATGAATTGTTGCTAAATTATTTCAAAATTTATGATAGTATTGTGCTCCAAATGTAATTTTAAATTCTTTTGACTTAAAGACAGAATTTTAGACCTTTTTGTGGTCTAAAAGATAAAGGTACCTGTCATTCTTATATAATCAATGCTGAACAAAAATTAGATGCTATTTTTTTTTGAATTTTGTCACTGTTGGGGAAGTATTTGTCTGTGATGATACTCAAGCAACTTAAGAGGAAACTATATTAAAATTTAGGTAGTAATAGTGTAGTTGAAATATTCAGTAAAAAAAATTCCCTGACACAGTATAATTTTTAAGTTCCACTTCTTTCCTAGTTATAAAATAGAAAGAGACTATGATTCGTAACAAATAACAGTTTTTAACATCTTAATTAAAATGCCAATACATCATAGTGTTATAATAATATGTGAAGGTCAAAGAAACATTGACTTCTTTTTAAGTCGTTAATTTTGATTCATCCACTAGACTGGTATCATATAAACTTCTACTTGAAAAACGATGAGTATTGATTGAAGGACTTGAACATTGAGTGCTTTTAATGTGACAAGTGATTATAACCCAAGCCACAATACAGAGTTCTTTTCTGACAAGTATCAGTTGAGACTGTTAATAGCTTTTCTGTCTTATGACAAAAGACAGGGACACATTCAATGCTATTTCCTATACAACTTTTACAAGCGGAAAAAAATATTATTTTTGAAATAGACATGATAGAATGCCCATGATGGGTGTTTAAAATGATGTGAAAAGAACATTATCGAGACTTCAAAATGGTGAGTATGAGACTCCTACAAGAGTTAATAACAATTACACAATGTCCGGTCTTCACCAGAGCTGTCAAATCAGGGGTGACTGTTCTGAACAGTCATGCCAGCAGCAGGATCCCAGTCCCATTGGTTGTGCTCCCAAGATGCAGTGAGTGTTGTGCAATCACATGGTGATGGCCAACTCACCAGCCTGGTTCATATCACTGCATATTTAGGCTTGCATATATTTAGAAATAAAACAGATCTGTACATAAAATGGAGGATGATAGCTAGGCATGCTTTTAATGCCTGTGGCTTCTAATATTATTTCAAATGAAAATCAGATATACACTAAATTTATCTTTGGAAGTAATTTTTAAATAATAATTTAGGGTGGACTTTTTGCAAGTATTTTAATAATTACCTAGTATGAATTGATACTCTTATAATTTCCAGTTATGAAATCATTCCCAATTCCAAAAAATCTATTGTCAATAAAGAGTTTCTCTTTTATTAAAACATTGCTAGAAGGTGATGGGGATCTCAATGTCTCCTATCATGATAGAATTGAGTGAGTTTCATGCTGAAATATGGAGCAATTCTCTTGGAATCACTTGGTTTCAAGGGCAATGAAAAGAATAACAAAACTGAAGTACAGATAGATAGGAAATGAGGAATTATAAAATTCTTGTTTTACCCCCTCAATTAATCAATATATATATTTTAAAAAATTGGCAACATGGAAAAAATGGATGAGCTTTCCTAAGCTGGAGAAATACAACTGAAAAGGTACATAATTCATTCCGGTTCGACACTTCTTATGCAACTCAGAAACCCAGGTTGTTGACATTGAAAAGAAGATCAAGGAACAATGAGACAGGACAAGTACCATGGAGAAAATTTTAATCAAATTAAAGGACATTTGTGAGATCATCTCAAGTGAAAATACCTTCCCATTAATAATAATCAAGTTAGGACCAGATATAACAGGTCCATTTTTTTTTGTATTGGCAGCAAGTATACATACTGTATTGCAGATAGTTTCTTCAAATGATTTTTAGTAATTTTGATTAACAGTTGTCTCTGACCATAGAACTGAGTCAAGCATCTTTTCTCTATAAGATTCCAATAGTGAGGCACACTGCTGTAGAGAAGCTCGGGAAGGAATGGAGTATCACTCCCTAACTCCCTAGTCTTAAAATTCAGAGAAAGTACTTCAATCTTTGAATGCCTCATGGACGTAGACAAAATGTTAGAGTGTTTCTGTGCACTCCAACTAGAGATTCCAAGCACCTACTGAAACTATGAAAGAAAAGCACATACCTGCAGTGTATGCACAACATCATGAGATCGATCAATCTATCTATCTATCTATCTACCTACCTACCTATCTCCCTGCCTACTTACATACATACCTACAGGTTATCTTGTTGTTTTCCCTTGCATGGTTGCAAGTCTAGGTATTGTTGGATCCATGTCTTTGACTCTGTGCCCTTCATTGCTGCATAACAAGTCATCATGCAGTATAGATGGGGAGGGTGTCGTACAGTATCTCTGTCTGTCTATCCATCTAACCATATATAGTTATAATTCAAGCCAACCATCTGCACCATGATTGCATGAGTCCTATGGGCCTTCTCTATCTGATACAGGAAAGTATTCAAATTCTAATGCTGAATTGTTGATTGAACCTATTTCCAAATAGGTTCTCAAGGTGCTTAAAACAGAAACACTGAAATCTCTGAAACACATTAGTAGCATCTTGAATTAAGTTAAATAATGAGACAGCATTTCCAGAAAGTCTCCAAGTGCATTTCTCACAGTTTCTAATAATGAAAGAAAAATTATTTAGCATTTAGATGTAAAGGAATGAAAAGTCTAGAAGCAGACAGACCCTTAATAACAAAAGGTTTACCCTTTTAATCTTCTTTGATTACACTGAGGGACTTCCAGGAGGCAAAATTTAATTAAGGTTGGTGCAGGTTTCTGTAAAAATTGACAGCTCTCTGATATACTAGCACCCTGGCTGGTGGAGATATTTTTTAGTTGTGTACACTAAGATACCCTTGGCTCTTCAATCACACAGGGAAACATTCCCATTTGTGGCAGTGCAGCTGCTTGACACCCCGTCTTATCTCTTTTTATTCCATTTGTCTGAAAGCTCTCCCTTCTCCCCACCATTTCCTCAGGTTAGGAAATTTCTGCTCATCCTTCTGGGCTTGATTATCAGTAATTTCTGGAAGAATATTATACAGCTCCCCCCTCGGCTTTAGATTGCAAAATATGGGCATAACGACTTGTTAAATTAAGTGGTTTGTCCCAAACCACAGCTTGTAAGGTGGGGTGGTGGGCTGGGACTGAGTTTCCTCTGACTGCCTCTCACTGTCTTCTCCCCGGTCGGTGCTGCTTGATGAGAGTTGAAGGGGCACAGGTCCGTCAATGCCTGAACTTGCAACCACACAAGGACTGTAGCAAGAAGAGTCCTTCATGCCTCCAGGTTAAGCGAGTATCTCTTGCAACACACTAGCATGAGGGTTGGAATGTCAATTCTACCTTTCCAATTTCTTGGCCATCGCCAACTCACAAGTTATTTATCAAATCAAAATTAACAGTGAGATCAGCTTTCGTGGTGAGGAAGGAAAACTGGAAACCATTTGCCTTTTTTTTTTTTCCTTGACTATGAGAGAAAAATGGTTTTGAGTGACAATCAATAGTGCTATCCATTGGCACACTTAGAACCAATTCTGCCCCTGTGGAGGTGGGACGTTACCAGCCAACGTACTTGTCTCCTTTGCTCTTGGAGATGCCGACCAGTTTCTCGATGCCTCCCGCGTCCCGCAAGGCCTTGGCGTTCTCCATGTTCTTGGTGATCACCTCGTGCAGGGTGCAGCAGACGGCGGTCACCGTGTCGTCGGACATGGCCTTGCTCGCTGCGTTGTTGCTGTTGTTCCCTCCGGGAAGCCTGTGGACCAGGTCTCGCATGGCGTATTTGCCTTTGGAAAAGGAAACACAGGGAAGAGTTGAGGAGAGGGCAAGCAGAGAAAGAAGGTTCAGGGAAAAAAGAACAGAGGCAGGTGGACGCAGTAGAGTCACTTTCCCACCTCTGAGTGTTGATCATAGGGTGATTTCAGACATACACACAGAGAACACAGCGGTCCTCCTTCAGAACCCATGGGGCATCGGTTCTAGAAGTCTCCTGTTCTGCTCCATGGTTACCAAAGTCTGGATGTTCAAATCTCTTATGTAAAATGGCACATGCACATTTTTCTTTGTATTTTTAGTCATCTTTAGATTCTTTTAGCTTAACAAAATGTAAATGCTATGTAAATAGTTGCTACACTGTATAGTTTAGGGAATAATGGCAAGAAAACGTCTGTAAATGTTCAGTACAGATGCAATTTTTTTTTTTTTTAGTATCTTGATCTGCTGGTGGTTGAATCCAAGCATGAGGAACGCATGGATGTGGAAGGTGCTCATGGTGAGCACCTGGAGTTTGGTCCTAGATACATCAAGGATGAATCATGGGTCACTTCATTTAAGCTTTGGTTTGTTTTTTCCATTTATAAAGGAGAATGACAATGATACCTGATTTATATTTTAAAAATTAAAGGAGTAGATGTATGGAGTGCATTTGACACAGTGATTAACGAGGATGCAGGACTCACTAGACATTAGCCATCACTAGGTTCCTACCTGATGTATTCACAAAAGTCAAGAAAATGTATGTGATTCTAAGAACCCCCCAAATACCTTGCCAGGAGCTATCTTGGGACCTGTACTACTGAACAGGAGTCAAGCCACACATATATAGAGAACATGGTCACGCATGTGAGTTCAGACCCCTTTATAGCACAGAGAAGTTGCTTAGGGCTATCTAACTAGGTACCTGGTCCATCAGGGTGACCTTGCCTCTCTGGGATTTGCCTAATGGGATTTTATCGTATGGGTCCCCCAATGTTTACTAATGTGGCATGTTTTTATTTGCGCAAGAAATAAAATCTAACTCTGCTTCCTTAATTCACTTTATCATTATTAATGCGGTTACTCCTGATGATAAGGGTACTTACAATGACATAATTATAGAGCCATTTTAGTTTACATAGCAGTTTAGGCAAGACAATTCATTTATCCCACCTGCAGCTTCCAATTCTGTTCCTTTAATTTATTTATGGAAGCGAGTAAATGAGTGCCTGCAGCAAAGTTGGCTGTTCTTAAATTTGGGGGGTGGAATTGGCAAGTGTCCAGAGTTATATTTCTGACTTGTCCTCTATCCCCCAGTAGACATGTGTGGCTAGCTCCTCAAAATTATGTGGACTTTTTACCTCCAACATATACTGTAAATGATTCTTTCATTTGCTGCTAAATTCTCTAGTGCACAGAGACTAGGGCCATAAAATAGAACCCCTTAGGAATGTGCAACATCTTAATTCCAGGTGGTAATAAATAAAACACAGGCCCTTGTAATTTTGGTATCTGCTTTTATCCTGTGTTCTAGTGGCTTATTTTAGTGTGGACAGAAAATGCTGACGTTTACTGAAATAGAAAAGTGTCTTCATCCACTTCGTGATGGCAGAGGAAGCGTCTGACAAAACTGGTTTCCTGAAAACCCCCACATGTGGCATATTTCTCCTCTAATGACAGCACTCACAGTAGTTTGGAGAAGATATCTGTACATGGACAGTCCTCTGAGCAACTTGCCTTAGCTCTCTGTCATTGGACCAGACTGAACTTGGGCTAAGAGTTTACTTCTGTAGCACTCAGCATGCGGGGCCTCCTCTCAGTCCATTCATCCCATAAACCACGAGAAGATACATTTGAGATCCACAAAAGTGAGAAGATGAATGTGTTCTCTCTCTCTCTCTCTCTCTCTCTCTCTCTCTCTCTAAGGGAAATGATGGAGAAAGGGCAACGTATTGAAAACTATTCCAATCCCCGTGCGTATGGCGACATTCACACTCAAGACCGCATGGAAGACTGGCTTTGTAAGCTTGGACGCTGTCAATGTTGAAAGCAGAAATGAGGACAGGAAAAGGTTTGGCTGCAGCGTTTCTTAGTTTGATTGCTACTGTCGCCACCAAATGAGCTCAGATACAGCTGAATGTGCAGTTTTATCCGGGCTTCCCACACCCTGAGCCCTGGAGGAGACACAGTTGTCCCTGTCATATTCAGGTGGAAGGAACCCTGCTGAGCAGCCTCTTCCTTCACCTCAGGGTGCAGTGCAAACACTGTCATTGTCCATGTGACCCTCGATGTGACAAAGATCAGAAGCCACTCTTATTTAAGCCACCTGGGAAATGCAGCAGAATTGTTGGATTTCTAATATTTCTGATAAAGTTCACTGATGTTCTACTAGGTGGTTGGGGATTTTTCATGTAGTCTGCTTATCCAGAGAGATACCATCTAGTCTATACTTTTTTACCATCTGAGAGAAAAACTATTCCATGAGGAAGAACTTTGTTAATTATATTAAGGGCGCACCTTATTATTATTTTTTTTAAACTTTGTGTGTGTGCTCAAAAATGCTATCTTCTCACATTAGAATTTGAATCCCACTTTTACATGGAATCTGGGTAGCCAGGAAAGTTTCTAAAGCTCTTTTTAGTGTTTAGAAACGTTGAGGCTAATTGGGGTGTTGGGGCAGGAAAAATGGAACGTAGAATGCTTATGGCCACAAGTCACCTTGGGTGGCAAGCTCATGACATCAGCTCAAGGAAGAAAGACACTGGGTGGACTGGAGTTGTTAGGGCAGGCCAGACACGGGAGGTGGACATATAGGACTGCTCTGTAGGTCAGGGGCCAGCCAGTCACTATTTAACAAAGAGATTCTGGGGCATGAGGAAGGAAGTTCTCAGCAGTCAGACGGAAGGGGGGAGAAGCATTGACCTTACCCCTGATGATAAAGCTGTTGACTGCAGATATTATCAGCACGACAACTCAGGGAGCTTGTCCCCTGTAACTGTCCCTGGTCCCTTGTTTCTTTTTTCCACAGGTTTCTAAACACTAGAAAAAGCTAAAACACGTTCCTACTTTATCAAACAAGAATCAAGGTCCCCTTTCCTCCAACCCTCATGCAAGGCTTTTTGATCCTTGAGGCCTGAGATGTCTTCAGAGGTGAATGGAGTTAACTCCCTTTCATAATAAAGAGAGTGGGCTGACCTTGATTTTCACAGCTTATCACCATCAAGATGTCAAGTTGTTGATTTCTTTGTCTCCTTTCTTTTCTTTTCTTTCTTTCTTTCTGTTTGTGGTGGGGGGGATACTGGGGACTGAACCCAGGGGTAATTATCCACTGAGCCACATCCCAGCTCCTTTATGAATATTTTAGAGACAGGGTCTCGCTGAGTTGCTAAGAGCTTTGCCTCACTAAGTTGCTGAGGCTGGCTTTGAACTTGAGATCCTCCTGCCTCAGCCTCCTGAGTCTCTGGGATTATAGGCATGTGTTACTGAAGCCAACAATTTCTTTTTAGAGAGAGAAATGATAGAGGCCAGGTTCTGCTATGGCTAGGGATGGAGTGGCCGGGACAACAGGTGGTGACTGTCTCTCTAGGGATCTTGAGGGGGAACAGGTTGCAGGTTCTGCAGGGGCCCAGGGACATAAAAGGCATCTGCAGCTCAGCAGTGGCTCCATGGGGCACGGGACACTCTGTGGATGCAGAGCAGGACATGGAGCACAGGGATCACCCTGGGGTAGAGCCAGGCATGAGGCATAGGAGGTGATGGCCTAGGCACTCAGGTGGTGGACGACCACTCCCTCTTCTTCTGGATTTTGTCTGTTTTAAAAATAAGAAAATGATACAGACTGCAGTCTCAGAATGGTTCACACTGAGAGGCCACCTGACAGCCACTACAAGACTTAAGGATCCAAATGATATGGATGTGTGACTACTAAGAGGTGGAGGCTGGAGAGGAGAAGCACACCATGATGGAGAGTCCACGGGCTTGGAGTCCAATGCAGAGTTGAGGGAGGATGACTCGAGGTTTTCAGCTGCCAGTGAAGTGGGAAGTGAAACCAAAGAGAACTTTAAAGCACAATAATAATGGGCAAGTGGATTTAATTTTACTTTTTCACTCAAAGGAAAATGTGCAGAATTAGTTGTGCTAGTTTTGAACATGGATTGTTCCCATCAGAATCCATGTTGAGACCTGGTCTCCACTCTCACAGTCTTGGGAGGTGATGAGACCCGTGGAAGGCACTGAGGTCAAGAAATCCATTCTCATGAAGGATTAATGTCATCTCTTGGGACTGAATGAGTTGTTGCTCTTGAAGGGCTGGATTAGTTTCTGCAAGAGTGACTTGTTACAAAGGTAGGCTGTCCCTTGAGAGTTTTACCCCTACAGGAGCCAGCTTGCCCTTCCTCTTCCACCATCATTGGAAGTAGCCCAAGGCCCTCACCAGATGTGGATGCCCAGTGGTGGATTTTTCCAGCCTCCAAAACAGAGAGCCAAAATGTAGCCCCTGTCCTCATACCTGACTCAGTCTCAGGTATTCTGCCATTGAGTACAAAATCAGCCAAGACACATTATACTAGTTACATGAGAGAACCGCTCAGCCAAATCCTATCAGAAGACAAGCAGGTGATCAGGTTCAAAGGACAGAGGTTTGTGAGGCACAGAGGACACCCTGTCCTGCCTCTGTTTGGAGTAAACATGCTTCCCATGATCCACTACACGAGCCACACTGTAAGAGAGAAAAACTCTTTACTTTCTTTCTTTATTTCTGAACTAAGCCTCAAAACAAAACAAAGCCTGACACCACCATCCCCACCAGACAAGTCGCTCCATCTTGCAGAGTTCCCAGTACAAGTGAACCCTGAGGCTATTTCTTCTGCAGTGCTTGGTCTCTAGGGGAGAGGACCTTATCTATGACTTTGGTGGTACGGATATGAGATGCCTACTAGAGGTATCATCATCATGTGGAATTGTAATCTGTGTTTCTGTCAGCGATAGACCAAGTGCAGCCTTGTAACTTGCTCTGTTTCTTCCAAATCCATGTATTTAGCACTCAGCAAAACCATTTTGTAAATTCAGACTCTCTTAACAGATTACAAGTAGAAATTATTTTCTCTTTATCATGCGTCTTGCTGGTAGTCTTCTAGTCAGAGC